TCCTAAAGATCAGCTTGTTGCGGTCCTAACAGGACCACATTTGATGCTAATGACCCACCTTTTGCCAATGTTGACTGACATCAATAATAGTTGACTACCGCCAGTGATGCTTAACAATCATTGTCATTGTCATTTTCTTTTCAAATTGATTAAAAAAAAAAAAAAAAAACTATGAAATTATTTATTGAATGTTTATTTAAGTTATTTTTGTAATTTGAAGAATTGTATATAGATAATGAATTGGTTATTGGATATCCATAATGCAATCCAATCAATTTGGATTAATATGAATTTTTATTCTTATTAATGTTTTTGTTATCTTGTTTTGAGTCTTTCACTATCTTTTCCTTTCTGCCAGTTCATATATTTCAAAATTGGTCAAATCCATGGGACATTTCTGCCATCCTTCATGAAACTGTTTGATGTATACTAGGTTGGTAGAGGGTTGCTTCAAATGATGTACTACTTTTGCGTTGCTCCCAACTCCTCTTTTCTGACGAAGAATGTTGCCAAATTCATTTATTCAATTATTAGAAAACTTTTCAAGTTGAGAACGATCATTTGATTTTAAAAAACAAATAAAAAGCTAGTATAAAATTTAATTGTAAGTTCAGGCATTATTAATTATTAATTTCTTAAACATCTATAATCTCTCTTACTATAAGGTGCTTCATTCTGTTATGCCTCAAAAGTCAAGCCTATGTCAGCACAATTAATATCTCTCTGTACCAGCTGCCAAGCCCATATCTCCAAAGATATTCTCACCAACTTTATCTCATTTCAAAGAGATGAATGGACGAGAGTCTTCCATGTGTCAAGGTAGTTTGCAAAAGCTCTCATTGCATTGAGTGCAAATGTGAATAAATGGGCATTTCTCTTCCCGAAGAGGAGAGGCTGGTGCCTGGGCTGAGATTTAGTTTTATTTTCATTCTCTCTGTAAAAACACTATATATCTTCATCTTTGTATGCCTTACGGGCAAAGTTATAGAAATAGTGAGAGATCAATAAAATAACAGTGGATGTAGGAGTCGCTTGTTGCATCCGAACCACTATAAAAACCCTTCTTGCCAATCTTTTATTTATTTTTTCTGCAAAATATATAATCTCAGCTCCATATTCAAATCTCATGGATCCATCACGTGTGTCTCCTGAGTCAGCTCAGCGTTTCCCACGTGCGAGTCGTTGGCGTCCAAAATCAAGCGTCAACACATTCCATTTTAAGTTGTGTCAAGTATATGATGTGTTTAATCAGAATGAAGATATCTAAAGATTTTGAAATGGTAAATTGGTCATAGGAGGGAATTTTATATCAAATACGGAAAGAAAATAAAGCTTCATTATTTCTCAATGCCTATATCTATCTGGGGAAATTAAAAGTGTTGTCATCACAGCGCATTCGAATCTGAAGTAACAGGAAACAGTCTGCCTCTTCGTGCCTATAACCGACTCTAGCCGCTAAAAATATGTAAGGCTAGCCAATTAAGCTTGCAGAAACTAAAGCAGACCCAGAGTAGTAGAGTGTACGTCTCTTAATAATCAATCAAAAGGGATATCATGTAAGCTATAGTCTAACAAGGAAAGAAATCTTCCGTTTTAGCTCTTGGTTATCACTGTCCAGTAAAGTTATAATTAATTCAGTAATATTACAGCCCAAATGACCTTTCGGACTTGTGCTTCTGAGGTTTCTGTCTTGGAAGTAATAAAAGCTATATGCTTACCCAGTTAGAGACCATATTGTAAGGTCAATTAATTGACCAATTAGCTCGTGTGACTTTTGTGAATTTCGGAAGTTATAATTATTCTTTGCTGGGACCAATTTAATTCAAATGCTTACGTATGAAAATGTGCATAAAATGAATTGTAGTAGCTAAGATTTTAGCTGATCAGGCTCCAGCAAGAAACTTATGGATATAGGTAGGTAGTGGGTTGGTTCAAAAGAAGTTGGCGCTTTAATTGGTTGCTTAAATTTCTCTTTTTGATGAATATTGAATATTTTTTCAAAATTTCATCACTGCATGAAGAAAGGCAGAAAATGCTCTTAAATTTTACGCCTCTCCTCAAATGTACCAGCTGTTTATATCAAGCAAGCCGAGATAGCAGAGCCTGTAGTTCTAATCAGCTGGAAGAAGTTAGGCTAGCTTCTTCCCATAGCCACTTCCACTTATATCTCCATGTATCTCAGCTGGTTTCTCCTCCAAGCTTCGTTTCTTTCTCTATGCATTCTCTGTTCTGTTAAGAACAGTTATGCTGCTGAAGTCCAACGCTCTAGCCACATTGTTAAATTGATAATACATGATTTTACGATCTTCATAATCAATAAAAAAAACTATTAATTATTTGCAATTATCGTTTAAATTACGGTAGAGCATATAAATATTATGCCTTAGTTGTTTCAGTGCCAAACAAAGATCTCTCTAGAGGTTCTAAGCAAGTATGGTCCATGCTGTACTCGAAAATCAGGCAAAGTAAAAACTCCAAATTACTTGAAAATGCTGCGCAAGAGACAAACCCAAGTCAAATACATTCAATCTAGAATCTTTAAGCCAAAAAACCCAGGTCTGATGTTGACCATTTAAGCACAAACAGGCCATTACAATCGGTACTCAGCCAATAATTTGAGGGATTTCCAGCCAGTTCTATATAACTATACCTGGGGATGCCAAATCAGAATGTTACTCCTTTGGACACAGGTAGCCCCATCACTTGGACGCACTGCAAGCCATGTCTAAATTGCTTCGAACAAAACAACTCGTTATTTTATCCATCCTGTCCTTGTCGACGTATCTATCGTTACATGCCACTTGTTAGCCTGCAGTTGTTATTGTTGAGTCTCACATTCCACACTAATTAGACAGCTCAAGCTTACTGATTTAAGAAGGGATAATCCTCTCATTCAACAAGATCTAATTGAGTGATGAGTCAGACCCACCTTAAAAATTATAACCACTTAGAAGTAAAAAAAAAAAAAAAAAAAAAAAAAAAAAAAAAAAAAAAAAAAAAAACCTCATCAATGCAATTTTATGATTTAATGGTTTATTTGGTTGTAATTTCTTCTTGAATTTATGCATTTCTCCAATAAAGTGCACTTACCATGTTGAATACGGTGGCCGTAGTTCTGATGGCATTTTATCAACGGAAAGCTAACCATAATGCATGACTTAGGGACATTCGTTAAATACCCTTAACATTTTTCAGATGTGGCAATAACAATTCTACCGACATTGATGGAGTAACTGGGGTAATGTGTCTCGATCGACACCAGTTATCTTTTGAGAGTGTTTTTCTAAGTTTACAGGCTAGTCAAATCAGCTTATAAAATCTAAAATCAAGTTAACTTGTTTATTTATAATTTTTTTGAATTTATAAATTGGGCTTATTAAAAAAAATAAAGAGTCGAGGGAATTTTTTTTTTTTTTTGTAGCCTGACCAAGTATATTACCACATTATCTTTATTTAATTTATTATATTTGTTCATTAGTTTATCTTGTGTAAAGAATCTAAAAATTATTCATATAAATTTTTAATAAAATATATGTCTATAAAGTATTTGTTTATTTAATTCTAAAACTAAATTATATTGTAATATGATCGAAATATATGTTGATGATATTATAGTAAGAAATTGAGTTAATATAATTTATTATTTGATAAAATAATGTAGTACCCTTTTTAATTATTTTAATAACAAAATGTACTTATAAACTATATTTTATTAAACGCGTTAACTATTATCAATCACTTATAAGTATTTTAACCAAACATGTAACAGTTTAAATTTCAAATGCTTATAAGCGCAAATTACCTTATAAGCACTAGCTACTTATAAACTAATTTTTATAAGGTCGACCAAACAAACTTTTATATCACAAACTTCTCTAAAATACTATCTCTTTCTGTTATCCTTCATCTTATGGCTTTACTAGATATATAACCTTTGGAAAAACCGATAACGATATCAAAAACAAGTTCATCAAATTCACTCCCATACCCATTGTTGATTAGGGGTATGCTCCTAGTTTGTTGTATAGTTTTATTTTATTTTATGAAATTTACCTTTAAAAAAAAAGTGAAACATTAATATTCTTCTATATCTATAGATATACATGGTGCTTTGTTCAATTATTATTAGTTAATTCTACCAAGTTTATGTTGGAAGAGGAGCTTTTAGCTCAAAGGCTCATAAGAGGAATTGAGAAAAGAAGTGTTTTGAAACATAGGGGCTTCGTTTGGTTGGATTTTGGGAATACTACTTTTAGTATTCCCAAAAAAGTTAAACAGTAAAATACCCAAAAACTCACAATACTATTCAACTTTATTCAATATTTTTTAAACCCCCTAAATTTGTTAATTCAATTAAATACCCCTAAATATTTTTAATGTTTTTGTTACGGCGACTCCGGCCACCCTCCGGCGGTGGTGGCCGGCTGTCCGTATTTGAGGGTGGATTGGGAGTGTTTTTGTTAACTTTTAATGTTTTATTATAAGGGGTGTTTTGTAAAAAAATAAACATAGGGGGTATTTTACAATTTGTAAATCCTACATCGTAATACCCGTCCAATTCAACTTTTTTTTTAACTTTTTTCAAAAAACTTTTTCCAAAGACACAAAATTGTGAACCAAACGGAGCCAGGATCACTATTGCTTCTCAAATTGAGCTTGTACAAAATGGCTAAGGGCACCCCTTTTATATTGCTCAAAGGAGTCTTCTACACTCAACTCCCAACGACCATATCCCCTAATAAATATCATCTACTATCTTTCACTATTAATAACTATTTATTCAACTCCCTAGTAAATGAGATATTTTACTAGATTTTTCTAGTTATAAGGCCTATTATTTGGGCTAAATATATGGGCCAAATATAAGCTTAAGAGGAGATATGAATATATCAATCCATACCGTTAAACTAATAAACCCAAATATTTTTGGGCCAATCAAGTTTAATATTCAAACAGCTTATGCCGTGTTCAATGAGAATGAGAACTCGACAGATTCTAGAATGGTTTGGTGGCTCATCAAGTATCCGAAGAAGAAAATAAAGCTAAATAAAATAAAATCACTTCTGAATGCCTATTACTATCTTGTCCTCAATGGAGCTGATGGGGGAAACAAGTTGTCAAGATTGCAGACAAGCTTGCACTTAATGCGCCTAAACGTTACACCCTCTATGCTCCAGGCTCCAGCTGCAGCTTATATAAAGCTAGCCAAGATTGCAGAGCTTGCACGTGCGAGTGAGCTGCGAGAGTAGTTGAGGTTCTTTCCATGGCCAATTGCTTTTCCTTCTTCTACCTGAGGTTTCTCCTCCAACCATCGTTTCTTTTTTTGTGCCTTCTTCGTTCTGTAAAGAACAGTTATGCTGAACAAGATAAAGAAGCAGAAGGCCAAAGTTCTCATAGTCATAGCCACATCGGATTGAAGATTCTGGATTGAATGTAACTGGCTCGAGCTCGGTCTTTGCGCAAAATTTCCAAGTAATTTGGAGTAATTATTTTGCCTTGATTTAGTGTAGAGCATGGACCATACTTGCTTAAAACCTCTAGAGATGCTTTGTTTTGACCTGAAACAACGAAGACATAATATTCACTCAGGCGCTTAATAATATTTGTGTGCTCTACGTAATAGAAATAATAAACGATAACAAATTAATAGCCTTTTTCGATTAGTTATGAAGAGCGCAAAAATTGAGTGTCAATTAATATTGTATACAGCCTTTGATGGAAGAATGGTTGCAAACAGTTAGAGGTAATAGAGAACTGACTTTAACGATGTGGCTATGACTATGAGAACGTTGGCCTTCTGCTTCTTTATCTTGTTCAGCATAACTGCTCTTTACAGAACGAAGAAGGCACAAAAAAAGAAACGATGCTTGGAGGAGAAACCTATTCTATTATATGAGGCACCGTTCGAGTTCTATATCACCGTATCCCTGGAAACACCGAGACAAGATATTACTCTCCTTTTGGACACTGGCAGCGACCTCACTTGTACGCAGTGCAAGCCATGCCTTAAATGCTTTGAACAAAACACCCCGTTATTTGATCCATCCAAATCCTCTACGTATTCTGTCGTTCCATGCGAATCGTCCGCCTGTTTATCAGGTACAATTACAAATCTACAAGAATAATTAATCAATACAAATTTATGATTTAATTTTTTTTTTTTTTTTTAATATCTAGTGTATTTTTTTCATGAATTTAAAGATAGATGCTCTCGTGCACCTGTCCTTTTGGAAAGATNCTCGGTCTTTGCGCAAAATTTCCAAGTAATTTGGAGTAATTATTTTGCCTTGATTTAGTGTAGAGCATGGACCATACTTGCTTAAAACCTCTAGAGATGCTTTGTTTTGACCTGAAACAACGAAGACATAATATTCACTCAGGCGCTTAATAATATTTGTGTGCTCTACGTAATAGAAATAATAAACGATAACAAATTAATAGCCTTTTTCGATTAGTTATGAAGAGCGCAAAAATTGAGTGTCAATTAATATTGTATACAGCCTTTGATGGAAGAATGGTTGCAAACAGTTAGAGGTAATAGAGAACTGACTTTAACGATGTGGCTATGACTATGAGAACGTTGGCCTTCTGCTTCTTTATCTTGTTCAGCATAACTGCTCTTTACAGAACGAAGAAGGCACAAAAAAAGAAACGATGCTTGGAGGAGAAACCTATTCTATTATATGAGGCACCGTTCGAGTTCTATATCACCGTATCCCTGGAAACACCGAGACAAGATATTACTCTCCTTTTGGACACTGGCAGCGACCTCACTTGTACGCAGTGCAAGCCATGCCTTAAATGCTTTAAACAAAACACCCCGTTATTTGATCCATCCAAATCCTCTACGTATTCTGTCGTTCCATGCGAATCGTCCGCCTGTTTATCAGGTACAATTACAAATCTACAAGAATAATTAATCAATACAAATTTATGATTTAATTTTTTTTTTTTTTTTTAATATCTAGTGTATTTTTTTCATGAATTTAAAGATAGATGCTCTCGTGCACCTGTCCTTTTGGAAAGATAAAACGAATTCCGGCAGAAGATAATTGCTGATTGCTTTACATGCAGATTTCAATGGAAGGTGCATTTCCAATAAGTGCATCTACAGAATTGAATACGTTAGCGGTAATTCCAGTGGTAATGTATTGACAGATAGGCTAACCATTACACATGGCTCTGGTACATTTGTCAAACACCTTTACATTTTCGGATGTGGCACTAACAATTCTGCAGACGAGATTGATGGCGTTACTGGATTAATGGGTCTTAATCGAAATCCGTCATCTTTTATATCTCAAACTTCCCAAGAATACTTCTCTTATTGTTTTCCTTCATCTTATAGCTCAACTGGATATATAACCTTCGGCAAAACGGATGACTATATCAAAAACAAGTTCATCAAATTCACTCCATTATCCACTACATCCCAACAATCGCCGTTTTACGATATTATTGTGACCGGAATTACTGTCGCCGGAAAAAAACTACCCGTAGCGAGTTCAGAGTATTCTAAATCAGGTGCATTTATTGATTCGGGATCAACCTTCACGACCCTTCCAACATCCATTTACGTGGCTCTGAGATCAGCTTTCCGTAAGCAAATGTCAAAATATAAGATGATAAAACCAGTGAAGAGTGAAGATATTGATACTTGTTATGATTTTAGCAGTTACGATACAGTTGTAATACCAAAGATTTCTATCTTCTTCAAAGGCGAGGTTGAATTGGATCTGGATGTGAAGGGAATTATGATCGTATTTAAAAATGATTTAAGTCAGGTGTGTTTAGCTTTTCAGCCGAATACTGATGACCCTTATATTATCTTGGGGAACAATCAGTTGAGGGCAATAGAGGTGCACCATGATGTTGCTGGAGGGAGACTTGGGTTTGGTCCCGGTGGTTGTAGCTGAGCTCAACTAACAAGGAAAAGAATCCTCCGAAATTTAGCACTTGGAAACAAGCAGAATTGTTGTGCTTTATGTTGGAAATATTTAATGTATTCCTAATTATATGCTTGTATTTTCAAGTTTTACTAATTACAAAATATATTTTCACGATGTGACATTGTTATAATTTTAAGCTGATAATTCAAATACATTCATGCCAATGTATGTTCATGCACGTGTACTATAGAATATATGTACATAAATGGGATCATATTCCAATTCCTTGTACATACATGATTACCTACCAATATTCAAATGTTGTATATGTAATATGCGTATATGTAAAAAGTTTTCACTAACACCATACAAAAACTTGTGTTTCATCTCTTCCAATCAATTTCCTTTTCCAATACTTTAAAGACTAAGTGGGTCGAGCATTGTTGTCAACGTTAATTTGCTATGACTGTAGTTTATTTTTTACTTAACTAAACAAGTAACTGTAATCGAAAATTCTTTAGTTAGGACTATCCTGATATAATTAAAATCAAACTTGAATATCGTCAGATCCACTTATTGGATTCAAATAATATTTTACATATAAAGATCTAACGGTAAATGCATATAATCTTAATATAATTATATTAGAACCATTCTGACTAGAGAATTATTGTAACTATAATTATGTTAGAATTTTGTGCTGTTTGTGTTAAACCATTTGTTGATTATCATTAGTTGTTTGAAGAAATATATAAGTTATTTATTGTCTTTATCTTGTAAAAGAGATGAGAAAGTCAAAGTGAAACAAATTCAAGGAAAAAAGTTTCAGTAAACAAAGCTGAATTAAAATTCTTCAAAATCCTTACTTTTGTTCCTCTTTTTATTCTATTTTTGCGCAGTAACTTTCCAGTTTATTTTAATTCAACACTTTCACACTCATTTCTTGATACATTTTGTTTCCGTAACAGAACTGAAAGCCGACAATTATCGTTTCCTGCAGCATTTTGTGTGTGTAACAAATTAAATAAAACTGAAATTTCAGCCAACAATTATCATAAACAGCACTTGGGAGGACCTAAAAGAAATGAAACCAGGGATCAGGAGGGACAAATATGAAGTCAAGGCCAAATAAACTTCACGCCTCGTGAAAACATATGATGGGTTTTGTTTTACTGTGCGTTTCACCACCTCGCAATTTGATCAGTGGCCGTCATTTTCCCAGAATTTTTATTTCTCCACCCCCATCATGAATTTGACAATATTCTCACCATTATTCTTATAGAATAAAAAATAAAAATACTTAATAAAAATGTTATGCCTGAAAAAGTAGGACTGACGCCAAGCCTTGTCAGCATGGGCGGTCAGAGCTTAGGTAGGTTCTGCAGCCGTTCAGACGCAACCACGTCACATGATGACGTGAGCAGCATGCTCCTACCAGTGCAGTGGGTATGCGTCAGAATGGCGAAAGGCTGGAATCGTTCCACGTGTCCAATCCCTGCACAAGTCGAGGAAATCACTCGAGCAGGTGAGCAACGGGACATAAAGAAGGATTTGCACGGCAATCTGACCCACTCACAGATTCAATAATCATTACCTCAATTCATCCCACAATAAATAGAAGGCTCCTCTCCCGTTTGTGGGATTAGCTAATTTTTCTCTGAAATAGCATACATTCTCTCACTCTCGTGTATTCACTTGTATTCTCTAAGCTATAAATCAGCTCGCTGAACACGACCTGATCTCATTTATTAATACAAAACTAGTGGATGTAGGATTCGCTTATTTAAGCATCCGAACCACTTTAAACATTGTTCTTCACTCTTTAATCAAATACCCCCCATATGCACGTGTGTCTTCTGAGTCAGCTCAACATTTCCCACGTGCGATTAGTTGGTGTCAAAATCAAGCATCAATAGTTTGACGCTAGAAGGAGGGCCTGATTTAGTACTTGTTCTTTATCAGGAGAATCTTTGACTAATCGGTCCCACAATAGCAAATGGCTCGCCGATTTGAATCTGAGTGAACCAATCATGATGATGAAGAGATCCCCTAGGTACAAGAGGACACTTCTCCCGAAGTGCCCTCAGTCCCGCAAATACCATGAGGGATATCTCTTCAAGCTTGCAGCTTGACCCAGCCGTTATGAGCTACCTGGAGAGGTTCAACAATACTCTCCAAACGGTTAGTCAAAGGCTAGATCGGTTGGATCGGGTCGTGCCACCCGAATCAAATGAGGTGGTACCACCGCCAAAAACGCCTGCCGGTCTCATGAAAGCGCAGAAAAGGGCAATAGCCCATGTCGCGCACACTGCAGCGCGTCGAAGAAAGGGAAAGCAAGAGGCAAACAGCGGGCCTAGAGGCTTTGAGGGACCAGCGAACACCGACCACACCCTAGGTATAATACCTGTGGCGCAAAGACTCGGTGACATGTCGTGGCCTGAGCTGTCCCGTGCCACGTTGCACGAGCACTCCCACAAAAGTACAAGTCGAGGAGATTCCCATTATCGCCAAAATGATGACTTTGATCGTCATCTCGCTGGAAGTTCCCACCATCCGCGGGTCGGTTCGCACCACCACAGAGGTCAGGAAGGTTCCCCAGACCATCCAGTGCCATCACACAACTCTAGCCAGCGTGTGTTAAGAGCGACCGGGACTGTCATCCGATGTGAGGAGGAATCCGACCTACGGTCTTTCCTCAAATGTAACCGTGAGGGTCAAACCCGCGTTGCGGAAAGCGATCCCCAGATGGCTCCGCTGCCTCAGATTGAGGAACTACAGCGAGCCCTGGATCAGTTAAAGGCTCAGCAAAATGAGCAAAGGCAGGTCGCAGAGGCGTCTCCCTTTTCTCCGGCAGTGTTAGACGCCCCTTTCCTGTCAAGATTTAGAATGCCCGACATGCGAGCATTCGATGAGAATTCCGATCCACAGGATCACCTATATGAGTTCAACGACCTCATGGAACTCCACCATGTCTCTGACTTGGCAAAATTCTGTTGCTTGGCAGTCACTCTAACTTCTCATGCCAAGCGATGGTTCAGGTCGCTCCCAACAAGATCAGTCAGTTTGTGGCCTCAGATAAGCTTGACATTTCTGAGACACTTCCAGGCAAACAAAAAGTTCTCAATGCCTTTGAGCTATCTCAGCAACATAAGGCAAGAGAGGGATGAACCCCTCCAATCCTATATTGACAGGTTCTATCGGGAGCTCCATAAAGTAGCTCACACTCCCGAAGAGTCCGTTCAGACTCTCATCATCGCGGGAGTTCGTCCATAGACAGACCTGTGGAAAGAGCTGCAATCTGAGGATGATGTTTCCCTCACCCGCTTCTACAGCCTTACAGAAAAATACCTCCGCATTGAAAACTCTGCGGCGGCACTCAACCGCCACGACCTCGGTCCTTCAGGCAGTGCGCCTGGTCAGTGGGAAAATAGGAAGGCTGATCGCAGATGGGCTAATGATGATCAATGAAAAGGAAAGAAGCAGAGGTATGAGCCCAAGAAATCTTACGCCCCAGTTCCTCGTCACGATCCAACAAGAGTCAGTACACTCCTCTGAATGCATCGGTCTCTGCTATTCTTGATAAGTCAGAAGAGGCCAGCCTACTTGGGGAGCCTGAGCCCATAAAAGGTCCCCATTTAGCCAAAAACAATAAAAAGTACTATCGCTACTATTGAGACAATGGGCACCACACTGATGAGTGTCGGGCCCTTAAGCAAGCAATTGAAGACATCATTAAGCAGGGGCACTTCAAAAAGTATGTTGATGACTCTACTCCCATGCGGGAGAAAAATCAAGAGGAACCGGGTAAGAAGCGTCGTGGTCGCAAGTGTATCTGCAGCGTAGGGATAATCTTTGGGGGACCACACCTTGGAGGGAATTTACGAGGTGCCCAAGAGAGGTATGCTCGCGCAGCCCATCACTACCCTATTCATGTAATGAACACAATGCCGCGACCGTCAAAGGTTTGCAGGGAGGAGGAAATCACCTTCTCCGAAAAAGACGCAGTTCGATTGCATCATCCCCATGACGATGCTCTCATCATCACGCCCCAGATAGGGCGTTGCGATGTCCACAGAATGTTAGTGGATAACGGAAGCGCTGTGAACATCCAGTTCCATCGAGCTTTCAAAAGAATGAAACTGGATGAGGCCGACCTGAAGCCTGCCTCCATCCATCCTCCTGTATGGTTTCACTGGGGATCATCTGATCCCCAAAGTGACAATCTGACTCTGGGTCACATTGGGTGACTTTGACGAAGTGACCAAGATCACTGAGTTCTTAGTAGTGGACTGCCCGTCTGCTTTCAATGGCATCCTAGGGCGACCTCTACTCAGAAACTTCAAAGCAGTCACTTCGATTTACCATCTCAAGATGAAGTTCCCTACCCCAATGGGGATAGGGGAAGTAAGTGGATCTCAGCACGCATCTCGCGACTACTATGTAAAGGCAGTGCAGATGACGTGCAGGGGAAAAGGTATTCTGCATGGCATTCCCGAACAGGCAATGGCGATCAGTTGGATCGAACTACAGCCTGGTCCAGCGGAGGATAACTTGGATCCCCGTATCCAAGAATGCCCTTCCAGTGGGCCGATTGAGGATTTATCTGAAGTGTTAGTTGACCAGAGCGAGCCGAGTCAAGTGTTGAGGATTGGAAGCAATCTCAACCCCCAACTTGCTAGCGACCTGACCAGCTTCCTTAGAGAAAACATCCATGTGTTCGCATGGACACATGCTGACATGGTCGGGATCAGCTCGAATATCATTTGCCATGCTTTGAACATCGATAGTGAAGCTAGGCTGGTCTGCCAGAAGAGAAGAGCAATAGATCTGGAGCGATATGCTGCCTTGAAAATTGAGGTAGATAACTTCTTCAAAATGGATCCATCTGAGAGGCGCTCTACCCGAGCTAGGTTGCCAACCCAATTTTGGTAAAGAAGCCCAACGATAAATGGCGGACGTGCATCGACTTCACCAACCTCAACAAAGCATGTCCTAAAGACAGCTTCCTCCTGCCAAGGATTGACCAG